CGAGGTGACATCGGAATTTATTCTAAGCGCCAGTCGTCTATATTTAGAAACAACCTGACCTGTTTTCGACATCAACAAGCTGACCCCGATACACCACTCATGATTACTGTACAATAGTGTATACAATACACTGTAAATTAAAGTTCCATGCGTGTATAAGGTAAGAAAAATATGTAGTCTAAGCACTAAATTCTTCAACACAACCTATTCGTAGAGTATTTGGTTATCCGGACAAAAGATTACCCGAATCATCCCCGGTTCCCAGTTAGTTCGCATAATCGACGCCTTACTGTATTATATATTGAGTGGTAGATGCTGGTAGTTATTTAAGTCATCTGTTCTTCGTACCGGAAGTTCTCCGGTATTCAGGTGAAATTTCACAGAAGAACATTGACGCAATAGTGAGGCATTGCTTTGTATTATTATCTCATTAAGTTGTGAAATCTTCCACGCGATTTAGGTTAACTCAACAACAGAAAATCTCTAAACAAACAATGAATTCACCCAGGACTCTTACTCTTTGAAAACTATGCACTTTGGAAAAAGGACCTCTGTTTCCCCAAACATTTCATAGAAGAATCTATTTCAATGTTTTGTACACAAATATGTAACCGTCCCTTGTCTGTCCACCTGGCTTGTCAGATGAAGTAACCACCAGTAACAGCAGCAACACCCCCAGTCGTTTACAATTAGTCAGTGGTGAAACACTACTAACGACACCAAACTACGCACCACGGCTTTGCACATGATTACAATACGGAAATTCCCCGAGGCCATCGGTTGTTTTATCTCATTGGCAACCAGCCCCGTCGTGTGTTGACCAGCAGCCATGGATGTTATTGTCCCATATGGAACCCAATCCCCCCCCCCTTCCCCAAATCCACGCTCAGATGTGTCTTGTTACTTTTATTTGTACACATACTCACAATCCTCTTATCAGTTTTAGTTGTTCATGTCCAATCATAGTTTGTATTTTTTTAATGATACAAAAATCAAGGGTTCTAAATTGCTAAACAGTTCATGTACTTATTACCCCAAAGTTCGGGCAATCCGTAGCTATTTATGATTTCTCCAATAATAAATATTTAAACAATTGTTACATAATACAAGATGCATCTCTACACATGGCTTCTCTGACTTTACAAGGAACAGATACCCAAATATACATGCTCTACAATAGCTGAGATTCTTAGGTATCAGCCAAGCTACAAGCTCACAAACATCTCCAACCTTCCAGCACCGTTTCCAGTCAACCAGTGTCCCATTTCCGCGCACTGCATATCTCCCTAACACCTGAACTCCCATGAGCTCCCCTTATCCACCCTTTCCTCCCCCCACCCACCCACCGCTTGGTTCACACCGCAACGGTCTGCTTCACACGCGGCACCACCACAGCAAAATGCATTATTTTTTCATTCTCCACTAATTACCACATGGTGCTTGGCGCATACGAGTGCCCACTCTTCCCTACTCACTCACCCACGAGAGCCAGTGCCATGTGGACTGAAACGGTTGTTATGTATAAATTGATCTCCACCATTCACCCCACGGGCTTAGCTGGACCATTGATTGTTGATTGTGGACTTTCTGAGCATCAAGAAGAAAAAAACTCAGAGTAGATTTTGACTGAACAATGATTCGTGGTAACTTAAGGATTTCAACGGATTTCGTTTGGAACTGTCGTTTAAAAAAAAAAAAGTGCCGTGAAGAAATGCTCTTTAAAATAAAGTTTGTCCTGCCTTGAAGCATAGAATGTCAATTTTGATCATTTTTTTCTTTTCACATGCTAATCTATTTATGTTTAAATAAGTCATGTTGACTTGCATGTTTAATCGTGACATACACAATCATGTGTCACGGTAACTGCCATTACCACCTGGGTGTCTGACAAAGTTCGCACCAGGTAAATATTTGTAAACCAAGATCGTTTGGAAATTAATTGTAAACTCACCAAAAAAAGAAAAAAAATCGTTTTTGGCGATCGGATGGTACTCACAGTTTTAATTATGTAATGACGTATCTAATAGGTACGGGTAAATTTTGGGATCAATTAATTATCCGTGGCACCGGTTTAATGCATTTCATTTACTCAAAGAGTGTGCATTGCTCTGTACACCGGACGTTTACCTTCTGATTAGCGCAGGTCTTGTAATGGTTGTACAAACAAATGGATTTTACGAATAGAGCATCGCTAAGTCTACATCCATCTCCTTCTTGTGATAAGCACACACCTTTTTTCTAGTACTTTATAGAAAAAGACTATTGGTTAATTTCGTGCGTTTTGAATTAATATTAAATTATGTAGTTATTAAATAATTAACTTTGAAAATAATCTCAATCCACCAGGAAGAAAGTCAGAATGGTTGTAATGCAAAAATAGTTGTAAAAAAAAACGAAACTTTGGAAATATTGCTTGCCAAAAATGCCAGGAATGCAATGAGTTTAATGGGAGATGTCATCAGGAAATAAGGAATATGTCAATGGGCTACGTTCAAATGTTTGTAAAACAGAGTGGCTTGCCCGTGGTTGCCGCCCACATTTACTACTTTGGGTTGGTTCCAAAATCATGTTTGTTGTTTCTAAACCCGATTCCAGTAAGTTAACTAGGGATGATTAATATATACCCAATAATACAGTTTTTAAAATAAAATTTATACTTCTACTGTGAATAATTTCTTTCCTCTCAATTCACGGTGACGTCACCGGATCCATGTTTACTTAACGAAACCATGACAACCACAAATAATATTAAATCGGACATGATACGCACCAACCCCTCATACTATTTTCTCTCCGAAAAAAATATTTTTATGTTCGTGATCTTGTTGTTCGTCAGTCGCGACCATGACCACTTCAGTCTTCATTCATCAGATTTGTGCTACTTCTGTCTGTGGGTGCGCAGATGGCTAATGAGGCCGATTCTGGCATGACATTTTCTTGTGCAGTAGGTGCAGGTGAATGATGGGGCATCTCCGGGAGCAGAGTCAGACCGGGCCTTCCTGGCATGTCTCTAGCGCCGCTGTTCTGCCAACTTCATGTTGCATGGAGCTCCCTGTGTAAAGTAGAACGCCATGATGTTTGATCCTTTGCTTTTTGCTCTCAAGTGTCGGGGTTTATGTCGAACGCTTTCAGTGAGCCTTTTAGGTTGTCTTTAAAACGTTTCTTCTGAAAGCCAGCTGACCGTCTTTCATGTTCGAGGTCACCATAAAAAATTCTTTTGGGCAGTTGGTCATCTGACATTCTCACAACTTGTCCCGTCCAACGAAGCTGGGGCTACACTAAGATGGTAAAGATGCTGGGAGACCTGCCCGTGTGAGCACCTCAGTGTCTGGGACCTTGTCCTGCCATTTAATGTTGAGGATTTTTCTGAGTCTTGTTGTATGAATGTGGTTCAGCATTATTGCATGGCGTTGGTATACCGTCCACATTCCCACAAGCATATAGAATTCGTGACCACACCCCATAATGCGCTTAATAAAACTCCTGGAAATAGAAAAAAATAGGAGGGATAAAAAATTCCAAGGAATTAGCAGCTTGTGGCCTCCCTTGAGACACGAAAACGGAAAGAACCGTTTCCTGCTAACACAAAGCATTAGTGGTCATATGAAGAGCCTAATCTGTTATTGGTCATCTTCTCAGTAATTTTTTTTTTATAAAAAGGAGTATTTCTAAAGGTCATAGGTCATCGTTACCTGGTGAAGTTTTAGCTTAGTCTTTAACCGTACAAAGGATTTTGTTGTAGTTTGTGTTATGCAGGTACACTGGAAGAATGTCTGTTACGGAAGTCCCCTCAGTTTATATTCATAACAATAACGATTTATTTATATATATTTATAAAGGGTATACAATTTTAATATTAGAGTTTAAGCTCGATTTGAAACATGCATCTTATTCCAAAGCGCTATCTTTAACAGGATGAATCGAAATACATTAAAGACAATGAAATGGCCAACGCCAAAAAATTGTCTATCTCAATTAGAAGTTTTTTGTCTAAATCCTAAGTTTCATCTTGAAAAAGACGTCCCAAGCTTCATACGAGCACAAACTTAATTTCGCCATGGGCGCCATAGGACCAACGCATCCCTAAGTTTTAATAGCCCATTTTTTAAATGACATTTTATTGTTTAACATGTCAGTTAATCATCTTCGTCTGCGGCGTCATCAAATTCTCGGACAGATGACCTTAAAAGCGCAGGTTCCCGTGGGGATAAGAAGAAGTCTTTAGAACCATCAACGATCAGAAACAAGTCTTTAGAACCATCAACGATCAGAAACAAGTCTTTAGAACCACCAACGATCAGAAACAAGTCTTTAGAACCATCAACGATCAGAAACAAGTCTTTAGAACCATCAACGATCAGAAACAAGTCTTTAGAACCATCAACGATCAGAAACAAGTCTTTAGAACCACCAACGATCAGAAACAAGTTTTTAGAACCATCAACGATCAGAAACAAGTCTTTAGAACCATCAACGATTACAACACATCCAACAAACCCGTTTAGTTTTTGGAATCTGTATTTTGACAAATAAAAGGAACAATAACTGGTGTTTGCAAAGAGTGACGTAAGAAGCTCGCGGGTCGATCATCGGCTGAAATAGTTTGTGCCAAATTTAGCTTCTGGGTTTAGCAGCCAATGTCCGGTCAGGAACCGTTGGAGACCACAAATTAGTTGTGACCTCATTGATGAAGAGAAGAAAATAGAGGGATAAGTACGGTAATTAGATGGAGGATAAGAACTGTCTGAATGGAGGATTATTTCTAGAGCAAGATTGTAAAACATTAAAAGTGTTAAAAATTGAAAATGGATATGAAAAGGGAATATAACTATGTTTTTTTTTCTCCAGGGATACTCAAGTTATTATTATTATTATTTTAAAGAACAGTTCATTGGTTTCTTGTTTAAAATTTAAGATACGTTGAGATGTAATGAAAACTATTAAAGATGGCGTGTTGTTAGTCATCTCCCGAGGAGCTCTTCTGTGTCTGGATAAATTTAGATCTGTGTGACTCACGACGCTCCCAAACACCCTAAATTCGCGAGTTGTTTGTGCAACAAGGATATAACAATACGAGGACTTGGATTTCATCTACGTGTGTACGACTAGAGAATGTCAAGTTTCTACTTACAACTCACTGACACTCACTGACACTCACGGAAGCCTTCAAGCCCTTTGAATTGAATCCAAAAAACAAATCACAAACTTTTTACCCCTGAAAGTTTATATACTTTGTTATCTTAAATAATTTATTTAAAAATGAAATGGATAGATTGACGAGTACATAAGGTATTGTTGTATTGAGTTAATCTGTTATAATTATTATATTGAACTTCTCCGTCATCAATCGTTATCTATTGATTTTATTTCTACATTGTCACTAATTTCCACCCCAAACGGGGTGGGCTCGATTCACTGAAAGTCCACGTCGTATGCTCATCTCTAAGTGATCATCTCTAAGTACTATCTGTGAATTGAATTGTTACAACACCCCTTGCTCTGCTTATAATGCCTTCTCTTTTCCCTAGCCTCTCTTCACTTTTGGAGGCACATATCTCTGACTTCTTCTCTTCATTGTTTCGATCACATTAATCTTACAGGCAATTACTTCTAAACTTATTTACCCCCCCCCCCTTTTCGCTTTTTAAAAGTTAGGTTTCCTTAAGCCTCTATTTCTTTAAGCCTCTATTTCCTTAAGCCTCTATTTCCTTAAGCCTCTATTTCCTTAAGCCTCTATTTCCTTAAGCCTCCATTTCCTTAAGCCTCTATTTCCTTAAGCCTCTATTTCCTTAAGCCTCTATTTCCTTAAGCCTCTATTTCCTTAAGCCTCTATTTCCTTAAGCCTCTATTTCCTTAAGCCTCTATTTCCTTAAGCCTCTATTTCCTTAAGCCTCTATTTCCTTAAGCCTCTATTTCCTTAAGCCTCTATTTCCTTAAGCCTCTATTTCCTTAAGCCTCTATTTCCTTAAGCCTCTATTTCCTTAAGCCTCTATTTCCATTCCTTTTTGGGGGTTATTTTTTGTTTTTTGTTTTTACAGGCACTGATCTAGTAACCCCCCATAAGAAAGTACTAGCATAGAAACCCCCAATTTACAAGTACTAGCATAGAAACCCCCAATTTACAAGTACTATCATAGTAACCACCAAGTTACAATAACTAGTATACAACCACCCATAAAAAAGTACTAGCATAGAAACCACCAATTTACAAGTACCAGGAATGTAACTAGCAATTTACTAGCATAGTAACCTTACATTTAAAAGTACTACCCCAGTAAGGGTCCATTTACAAGTACTAGGCTAGAAACCACACATTATTAGTACTAGCATAGTAAGAACACATTTACAAGTTATAGCATACTTTAAAACTTGTCTTTCAACTTGAGACCACTCGAGATACGGTGTCTGGCTAAACTGTCACGGATGTTAAAATAATAATAATAATAATAAAATAATAAACTAAGCGTCTTTCACTTTTAAAATCTCTCCCCCCCCCCCCCATTGTTTTTGCTAGTTTTCATTGCCCGTATCAACTCATTTACTTAAACATTGTAATTTCAGATGTTGGACTGAATGGACAAGAGAGACACCGGATTAAAACGACTAATAAATTTAATGTGCACACCAATGTTTCCTGAACAGTTCACCGAATAACTTTTAGAGACATTTTAGTGCTAGTGATGAGAAAACGTAGTCACACTATACAACACTTTTTTTCGTTAAGAGTTTGAAACAGTCCGCCAACATGGATGTTTCGGAGAGTACTGTTGACCCCAGCAGAGTTCATACACAGATTGACAACAAACCCGCGGACGAAGACATCTTGAACGCCAGTGAGAGACAAGTTTACGAAGTCGTCAACTACGTCATCCTGGGAACGATCATCGGACTCTTCGGCATCGTCTCCAACATCATCAACATCATCATTTTTTACCGGCAGGGTTTCAACAACACGGTCAACATCAGCCTCTTCGGACTCGCCATTTCCGACCTTTGCAGCCTGCTGACGCTTCAGTGGTTCAACATCTGCGTCAACCCGTTGTTCGAGAACGCCGACGACGCCTTCCCGCTGGTGGCGTCGGAGGTCATCTACCTGACGGCCGGCATCCCGCACGACTGTTTCGCCCGCATCACGTGCTGGATCACCGTGTACATCACTGGCGAGCGGTGCCTGTGCATCACCCTCCCGCTCAAGATCAAACAGATCATCACGCCGAGGAGAACCACCGTTATCCTCGTCGCCATCTACGTCCTCATGATGGCGTCCTTCACCCCCGAGTACGTCACCGCTTACATCGACTGGAAGTTCTACCCGGACAAGAACAGGACGCTCCTCGGGCTCGTCTTCACCAAGGAACGAAAGAGCGTCGAGGGCTTGACCTTCCTGATGTACGGCATCCTCGGGAAGCTATCTTTTCTGGCCGTCATCTTGTTCACGGTCATCCTGGTTCTGAGCCTGCGTCGCAAAACAAAATGGCGGAAGAAATCCATTTTCGGAAACCGCCAGTCGGAAAAGATTTCAAACAGGGACAAGAAAACCATAAACATGATCATCTTGATCGCGCTAATCTTGATCGTCTGCTACACGCCGGGGATCATCTTATCGATGGTGACGGTGTTCGAGCCAGAGTTTAGCATCATCGGAAAGTACGTGAATCTGTTTTTCGCCATCTGGTCTTTCGGTTTCCTGTTTGAGACCATCAATTCCAGTGTAAATATTTTTTTGTTCTACAAAATGAGTTCTAAATACAGACGCTCTTTCAACGAAATGTTCTCACGTTGTATCAAGGTGAAGCCCACGGGAAGCGAGGACATTTCAAACACAAACGCGAGCTTGAAGATCATCAATGAATCCAACAGCAACTCCACCGGGTTGATGAAAATGTCGGAAACGTTCCTCATACCTACAGTGTGAGAGCCCGTGGGCAATTTTACCCATGCTGTTTTAGAATTATGTATTGAGAATGACTTATAAATAGATTTCATTGAGCGTTGATACCAATAAGCAAAAAGTCTTCGTACATGACGTCATTGACCCACTTTCCTAATAATAGATTTCAATTAGGAAATGGTAAACCAATCGTGCAATGATAACCGAAGAATTGAATAGATGTATTGAGTTACATCACGAGCTATATGCACAGTCACATCACGAGCTATAAACACAGTCACATCATGAGCTATATGCACTGTCAAATTATGAGCTATAAACACAGTCACATCATGAGCTATATGCACTGTCCTAACTGAAGTTCGCCACAGTGCAGTTTGGGAACAAACAAATTGAATAAATAAATAAATACCAGCCTAATTTGAGTTTTCTCTGAGAACAGTCATGTGCTAGAGATTTCAGTGACAATGTAGCAGTGATTAAATGTGCTCTATTATTTAGTGACATTGTATCGGGACCGCAACTTGCACAGAACCATCTTAACGAAAGATGGAACAGAGTTCACCGAGCTCCTACAAATAAGGATTCATTTATAGAAGTGATTAAATAGACAATCCCTAAGAACAAGACTGGAACGAACTGCAGTTTGGTTTAAAGTACGTAGAGGGCATTCTCTTAAAAAAAGTTCCAATATGTTATTTTGCCTTTGTATAAGAATGAGGTTAATCCGTGATTTTAAAAAATACGCTAAACTTTCAATGATTCATAGGGCTTGCAACCACTAATGTTTTTTTTGTTTTTTTTAAATCTTCGATTATTGGTTTGAAGTAATTAGCAAAACCAGCGAATCTGCTGGATTTGACATTTGCTGAATTACATATTTAAAAATGTTATTTTTTTATTTTGTTTAAGTTTTTTTTCTCAAACAGATATAAACAGAGATGAATGGCATTTTAATACCAATGTGATTTTGAATGTAATTTAAATATGGCCATATTTTGTATTTTCTGCTATGTCACGTAAACACGAATCTCTCTCAATGCCGACTCCATGGAAACTAAAAATTGTGTTTTGTGCTAAAGTATTTTTTATAAGCATATTTCAAATGAGGTTGTACATGTAGGACCACAAACTATTTTCAATGTTGTAGAATGTAAGTCAAGATTAGTGCTACTCTTTCTAACAGTCTTGGACTAAAGACGTAAAAATCTATTTAAAAAAAAAAGTAAAAAAAAAAAACCTAACGAAGGTTTGAGATTGAAAACAATCGATTCTGTATTTTCAAAACATGGATTCCAACAAAAGTGAACCGTTTCTGGTTTGCTTTTTTGACACATTTTAAAATGGATGCATGCTACGTGGAAGCGTTTAAAATCCAACAATGATAATTTTTAACAATAATCGTTGTATTGCAGGAATGAAACTGGAATTGTAAAAAAAAAAAAAAAAAAAATCTACAATTTTACATACGAACAATTTTGAGAATTTTTTTTATTTTTGATATTAACTCAATTTTAAACAACTTTGAAAAAATCCATGAACTCTCTAGCAGTGAACCGTTTTGTTGCTGGATGCGTACTGGAATGTTTGGACAGCCCACATTGTTTAACCTCTGTAATAGTTTGAAAACAATAGTTTGTTTTCTTGCGCCAGTTACCAGACAAACGTTTTGGACAAACCAAAAATAGTTCCGTATTTATAGGAAAGTGTGTTTGTGTGTGTGGGTGGAGGGGGGGGGGAGACTTAAAACATACGTGACGGACAGAAGGACAAGTATATTGATCAAATTTCAAAACAATATTTTTAAATTGATACATTCAGACGTCATATTAGCCCATCAAAGGGCCAGGGGCGAAAGCGGGATTTCTATAAAGGGGAACAGGGCGAATCTGCCTGTCACGGCAACGAGCGAGGTCATTCTGGCGGGTACGGCTGCAGGCTAGGTCATTCTGATAGGCACGGCCGCAGGCGAGGTCATTCTGACAGGCACGGCCGCAGGCAAGGTCATTCTGACAGGCACGGCCGCAGGCGAGGTCATTCTGGCAGGCACGGCCGCAGGCGAGGTCATTCTTACAGGCACGGCCGCAGGCGAGGTCATTCTGACAGGCACGGCCACACGCGAGATCATTGCGACAGGCACGGCCGCAGGTGAGGTCATTCTGACAGGCATGGCCGCACGCGAGGTCAGCCTGTTAATCAAGGCCGCAGGCCGCGTCAGTCTGTCAGTAATGGCCGGGAGACTTAGCTGGTTAAAAAATAGTGGTATTAAAAACTAGAGGACAGAATAAATAAAATTTGTATTAATATTGTCAGACACTTTCATCATTCCTAATTAATGATTAATCACATTTATTTCTATGATTTTTAAAATCAATTCTAGTTAGGAGCTAATTATTTCAATGGGTGTGGGGAATGGTTTCAACTGAAATAATTTTTTAGATTTTTTTAATCAATTTTAGATATCACCGTAAGAACTTGGTTAAATCCACATCATCTTCTCTCATTAAAATATTCTGTCAATACATTCTCTCAATGCAAATTCTCTCAAAACAAAATTCTCTCATTTCAACATTCTCTCAATACAACATTCTCTCAATGCAACATTCTCCAAATACAACATTCTCTCAACACAACATTCTTTCAATACAACATTCTCTCAATGCAACATTCTCTCAATACAACATTCTCTTAATGCAACATTCTCTCAACACAACATTCTCTCAATGCAACATTCTCTCAATGCAACACTCTCTCAATACAAAATTCTCTCCATGCAACATTCTCTCAATACAACTTTCTCTCAATACAACTTTCTCTCAATATAACTTTCTCTCAATACAACATTGTCTGAATACAACATTCTCTCAATGCAACATTCTCTCATTTCAACAGTCTCTCAATACAACATTCTCTCAATGCAACATTCTCTCAATACAACATTGTCTTAATACAACATTCTCTCAATGCAACATTCTTTCAATGCAACATTCTCTCAATACAACATTATCTCAGTACAAAATTCTCTCAATACATTCTCTCAATACAACATTCGCTCAATGCAACATTCTCTCAATACAACATTGTCTCAAAACAACATTTTTTAAAAATAACATCCTCTTAATACACCATTCTCTCAATACAACATTCTTTTAAAAATAACATCCTCTTAAAACATCATTCTCTCAATACAACATTCTCTCAATACAACACTCTCTCAACAAAACGTCTTTGTGACGTCTTACTGATTCCCTCCCCCACGCCACTAAGAATAAAAATAAAATAAATGAATGATAAGCTGTTTTTGGTCGAGGCTATTTCAACTTGACTATAATGCCGTTATTGTTCATGAACGCAATGCTGTCATTGTGTCACGAACGCTAACCGATGAATTATTCATGAGGCGTTACGTATTTAGACGCAATGTTTACTCTGGAGCCCTACATGAGCTCAATACCAGCGATAAGGACGTTCACGAGAGATGGTCTTTACAACCAATCAGTTGCAACCACTTCACGCGCACGTGCCGGTATTGACGTCATGTGACTACGGCTTTGATCATTTCTGCTGTGTCTCGTTTTCAATGTTTTATGAAATTTTCTCGCGAATTATTTTCGCATTTAAAGATCTTCATATAATTTTAGTCGCTCTGAAACCACACATGAAGTACGCATGCATTCTTGAATGTATTTTTATATTGCAATTGAACGTTGAGTTTTTGTTATTTTAAAAAAAAATGTATATTTTTTTTATAATCTCATTCTTACAATAACAAAATACTCACAAACCTTCCATTGTTTATTGACATCCATTTTCCCGTGGCTCTCATTTAATTTATTGCTACTCGGGAATCAGATTATCGCTGGTTCCCAATTTTCAGTGGCTGACCCTACGTCGCATAAGATAAGATTCTTTTATTGATCCCAATTAATGGAAATGTATTTTGATTAAGTTGTACACATTCTTTTTCTGCCTTTGGGTAAACAATGTGATTAAGATTTTAAAAAAAAAATGATTTTACTAGAACATTTAAACTAAAGGACAGTAAAAGTATCTCTCAAGAGCAAAGATCAGCCAACATGTAGCAGCATCAAGCCTCACTTCAAGCAATGACAATATTGACTTTAGCAGTGATACGTTGACTGTCCTCACTTCAAGCAATGACAATATTGACTTTAGCAGTGATACTTTGACTGTCCTCACTTCAAGCAATGACAATATTGACTTTAGCAGTGATACTCTGACTGTCCTCACTTCAAGCAATGACAATATTGACTTTAGCAGTGATACTTTGACTGTCCTCACTTCAAGCAATGACAATATTGACTTTAGCAGTGATACTTTGACTGTCCTCACTTCAAGCAATGACAATATTGACTTTAGCAGTGATACTTTGACTGTCCTCACTTCAAGCAATGACAATATTGACTTTAGCAGTGATACTTTGACTGTCCTCACTTCAAGCAATGACAATATTGACTTTAGCAGTGATACTTTGACTGTATAACTGTCGGAGAAAACCGCTGGTAAATTCTGACAGATTTGGGAACAAAAGATCTTCCATGAATTTTGGGTCTTACTACGAGGGAAAGAATTCGTCATGCTCGAGGTCTCTTAAGTAACTGTGTGCCAGTGGGTGGGTTGAATGCTCCAAAATGTTGTTAGTTTTTGCAAATGTGTGAACGATGCTTTCAGATGTGCTTTTAATATTAAATATCGAGTCATTTTAGAATGTGTTAAGACTTTAGAGTATTATTTGTTCGTCCTAAGTTGTTGAAAGTTGTGAAACAAGTCCAGGTGAGGGGCGTAGTGCTCTTATGGAGGATCAGGTGTTTCCCAATCAGCAGATCTGCGGTCAATGAAAATTAATGTTTTTAATCCAGGGGCATCTCCCGCGTTTTGTATGTGTACAATATCAAAGGGGAGTCCAACTCCGGGTTTTCTAGTGAGGGTGGACTACTGTGGCTTTAAGGGTTGATTTGTTTGTCTTTGTATTGATGAGTCTTGAGCTCCGGTCCCCAGGCTTGCATGTCGTGCTGTGGTATCGAAGCACTGAACCACACATGCCTTAAACCACACACACACAAACATAATTCATTTGTGTTTAAAGCAACCAACCTATGACCTCTCATAAGGACCAGTGGGTTGTCATTATACAGAATAAATTGTTTCAAATAAAATGATCTTCTTTCATCCTTAAACATGAAAAATTAACACTTGGGAATTATAACATCCCCCTTATGTCTATATATTTTATGAACAAGAAGATCTAGTGACATCATAGACTATAGAAATAGCTTTATAATAAAACTTAAAAATAAACTATTATATAAAGGTGAATTACGGGCAGTTGCTAGGGCGGGCAGGGTGGCGAGAAGTGGTGCATTACGTCATTTTAGAGCTGTCCACAGAAATCGTCGTGACATGATTCAACACTTTGTGATTAAAAAAATTTAAAATGTCCAGTGTTCATTTCAATGATAGAAATACTTTTTCTGTATGGCTTTTCACACCTTCAATGTTTATCACCTTTCCCTTTTACTTCAAACCTCCGCTAATTTTCCATTTTGATCAAACAGATGAGGAACTCGGTACAATGAGTGTGCAATCAGCGTGAAATCAGAGGGAAATTGATTTAGCTGTTACTGAAATAATCCTCAGCGTGGGTTGGGGTGGGTGGACGGAAGGTCAATGATGCCATCAAGTGGGTCAGGGAGATGGGGCTGGATGGAGAGATGGAATGGGGCACTTCGAACTGATTAATATAAATGTTTCCAAACACAGG